TTTTTTAATTTCCAGAAGATAGCATATTGTGTAGTGTGATGCTGCCATCTGTGACTATAGCAGAGAAATGAAAAAAAAAAACAACAGGAAATGTTTTATCCTCTGGCTCCTAAACATGCAAAAGGCCTCAATATGTAATGTATTTATTCAATGAAAACACACCTGTGATTGGAAATAGTTTAACTAAAATGAAGACGAACAAGTCTGTCTTAGGCGTGAGCAGTCAATTTTAAGGTTATAGATTGAAATTATGTTTTTCTTAGTATCATTTGCTTTGAATGCAAAGAAACAGATGCAGGCCACTAAAAATCTTTACCAGTATAAATACAGATACTGGGTATAAATGAATTTACCTTTTCCAAAAGTAGATTGCTGCACCAATTTGTCTCCATGTCATTCAAATCTTTGTGGCATTATTTTCCATAGAGATAAAAAATTAAGCTAGTGATAAAGTAATTCAACTCTCTGAAACTGGCTGGACAAAAAGGACAAATTCTTGATTCAATCATGAAGCTAGACATTTTTCTTGAGCTCTCCAAACATTTAACCCAGTGAGAACATTTTGGATTTTTTCTGTACATACATATACATGTGTGTGTGTGTGTGTGTGTGTGTGTGTATTGTCTCCCAATAGAACACATGCTCCTTGAAGGCAGGGACTGTTTCATGTTTGTCTTAGAACCCCATTATCTAGTTCAATACCTGTTATAAGCACTTAATAAATGCTTATGGATTGACTGACTGTCTTCAATACAGAAGAGTAGTCGATTTATTTTCTGCAAATATTATGTAACAAAGGAATAGATTTGAATATTTGAAAACCTGTTTCATGTGAATATTTGTACCAGTGAAGATCCAACAGCTAATTAATTTAGCCACATGATTCATATGAGCTAGCAATAAATGCTTCAAAATAATCCCCAAAATCAACAGAAATTTTTTTTAAATCAACAATAATAAAAATAGACACAAAGAAGAAATAGTTTAGAAAATCAATTTTTTCCATAATCTGTCATGTTGGAATAAGACATAAGCTTGCCATGGAGTATTATCTGTCATCAGAGGGTTCCATTAGTAAATCAGTAAGAAGCTTGAATACATTTGAAAGAAAAAGGGAAATTGGCTTGGAGAGAATCAAGAAATGCTGTAATAGGTAAACAGGTTTGACACCATTGAAATAATGATCTGTCAGGCCATTTTTGAAGATCTACACTTACAATATGTCAGAATAATGCTAATTTAAAATACTTCAAAAGGCAAGTCTCCATGCAAGGATACATATTCAAATAATTGCTAGATGAAAAAGTCTATATATAGCCACTTTGATGTCCTATAGCTGAACAAGTTGAAAAAAAAAAAACTAGAGAGGGAGAAAAATCTCCATCATGTAGAAATGTCTTGAATATTTTAAATATATTTAAGTCAAATAGAGATATTTGAACTTTTTAAAATAGCAGTTAGTTCCTCATAGTTGTTGAAAATGTTCCAGTACCTGTTTCTGATTAGGATTTTTTCTAAAAAGAAAGACCAACATCTCAGATTGGGGGAGATAATTCCTTTATAATATAAATACTTTGGAGGATAGTTTAATTGAAATTAGAATATCACATACATGTAAGGCTAAAATTAGGGGAAAAACAAATTAAGATAAAAACTATAAATGCTTAGGGAATTCTGCTAAGATGCTTATAAAAACCATACTTTCAACTGGTCAAATATTTTATCTCATAAATATACACAATTGCTCATTAAAACTAGTTTTCTTTTCCTGAATAAGGGCAATGTCACTTTTTTTTCCCTCCTTTTCCTTTTTTTTTCGGGTAGTCAGGAGCTTTTTTCTCCTGCTCTTGTTTAACGGGGGCTTCTTCCACCGCTAAGGCCTCTAGCTGTTGACGCTCCTCTTCCAGCAACTTCTCCCTGTAGAGTTCCCGGGGCAATAGAACCATATCCCGGTTCTCCTGTAATGATGCCTGTCCCCCCCCCAAAACACAAACAAACAAACAAACAAAAAAGCAGTGAATTTGGCATCAAAAAACAAATCCATTAACTTTTTTTTTTCTATGACACACAAGGATTCAAATCAGAAATGGAGTTTCACTTGGATAATACTTACTTATGGAGCTATAGTTTCCTATCTCTTCTAAAAGATTTTTTCCCATTTTAATTGCTGGTAATAATTTTATATAAATAAGTTTTGTTTGCTTGTATTTCTTGACCAAATATGTGATTTATTAGTTTAGAAGGTTCCCAGTGAGGAGTTTTATCTACCAGTTTAGACTAGATATTTACAATTTACAGTCTTAGAGATTTTAGGGAGCTAGGAGAGGAATCCAAGTGGTCCTGGCCTGGAGGCCACTTCTCTATCCACTACACCACACTGTCTTACATACTTCAGTTTATATGCATCAGTAACTGGTCTTTATAAGAAGACGTAAAGTGCTACAACTCTTGGTAAATGAACAAGATTTCTTCTATAAGAAAATTAATTCTAATAAGTCTTTAATCATAAATTCAAGTTATCCTGCTACAAAACTGAAGGAAGAGCTATTATGAAGTATACTGTTGTATAAATTTGCTAAACGAATAATAAACAAACAACTTAATACATTTTAATAAGTAGGGTTACAATATGAAATAAGTTTTTCTCCACCATGTATGCACTGGGATCACATGCATATAGCAACTGCCATTAACTGTGAGTTCCTTAAAGGCAAGGATTCTCTTTTACCCTTCTTCATAGCCACATTAATTAGTACTGAACCCTGTGCATTGTATGGGTTTAACAAATGTTTATTGACTGAATGAGAAAAAACGTGGTATAGGCATACCACTTTGAAGGCTGCCACAATCTCACTGTAAAACTATGAACAATGGATAGAGTAGTAGACTTGAAGCCAGGAAAACTCCAAGACACATTCAGCCTCAGTTCTGTCATCTGTAAAAATGTCACCTGTAAAACAGTACCTACCTCATGGGATTATTGAAATGATCAAGTGAGATTTTACATACACACATACATATATAACATAATTATAATACAATATTTATATATTGCATATAAAATCAGTTATATATTTATATGGAATGTATATATTGTGTGTAAATATATAAATATATATGTTACATACAACACATACAATATATAAAGTTAGTTTTGCCATCTGTAAAATGGGGATAATTATGCCACCTACCTCACAGGATTACTGAAATGATCAAGTGAGATAATATGTTATATATGGTGATATGTTATTAATATGTTCCAATTATTGTATAATAAGTAATATAAAATTACATATATTTATATCACGTTATATATCATCTCACTTGATCATTTCAACTATCCTGTGAGATAGGTACTGTAATTATCCCCATTCTACACATGACAAAACTGATTTTATACACACATCTATGCATATATATGTATATTTATTACCTTGAAAACTTCAAAGCATTAAGAAAATGGTAACTATTATTATTATCATCATCATGGGAGGCAATATTTATTTGTAACATTATTCCCAGGGAACTAACTGCCCTCTATAACATTATTTTTACCTACTATGTTTTCTTGTAGCCAATTAATGACATTAGGAGGTAGAGTATACCTTTACTACCTCTTCACATTTTATACTTGAAAAGAAATTAAATAATCACCTGTTAAAAATTCATGCTTCTTGAAAATGGCTGACAAAGTATGGAAGGGCCATGAGGTAAGAATAATTTTCTCCTCAATGAGTAATGTGCTATGCTACTCCCCACTTTTTAAAAAGCTAGAAGAAATGGGCAATCGGTAGGAAGGTGAATCAGTGTTACCAGTACTGTGTGAAAACAAATCATTAAGACATGATAACAAATACACAAAGCATTTGCTCCACGAATATAACATTATTGAACACAGTCCATTTTGACATTGGCAGAGTTTTAACGGACTAGCCATATTCACACATGGAGAACATTAAAATTCTGAAAACATTGTATAGCCATGTTGATGGTACAAAACACACAAATGAACTTATTAAGTGATTTTAAAATGTTCCTCAAAGTTTATTAACTTAAAGGCATAAATCATTGACCTTCGATGCTACTTGAAAAGGAATAGGTGCTCTCCCTGGCATATGAAATGCCAGTGTGGTCCAAATATCTGAAGAATAATGATGACCAAGGAGAAAAGGGAAATTCAGGAGATGGCATGTCAATAGCAGAGTTTAAGTGTGACATTCTTGGGTAGTACAATGGCTCCAGGCTGGGTTGTTCTCACAATGAAAAAAAACATTTGTGGGCAGTAGTACATCTCATAAATATATTTAAAAAAAGATGCTATCCCATGTGATGGAAAAGGATAGAATGTGATTCTAAAAAAGGATCAGGGCCAAATCTCTACTAACTTGCTAATTACATGGGTGGATAACTTAACATATAAGATGTCAAATTTTTAAAATTTAAAAAGGTTTGTCAAGAGTGACATATATTTACATGCTCTTACTTACACGAATATCTCCATAGGTATCCAAAACTTTTGCCTTTAGCCTCCTCCGTGCTATATAATCATAATCTCTTTTGCTAAGTATTCTTTCTCGATACTGGCGAAACCGATGAACTTCCTCTGCCTTCTGCATTTCTTGGTGCTGGGCCAAAATCTCATTGTATAATATAGGCTCATCAATTGTTTGTCTTGGGATGAACATCAAAAGAGATAATTAACTCATTTTGGAACTTGGCTTTGAACAGTTTTCTTGGGGAACCAAGTGATTAAAAGACTCAACTCTAGCTATGGCAAAGCATCACAAAGATCTTCAGCCAATGTTCATCATTATTTTAGTCCCTCGTTGTCATATTGATAATACAGTAATTTATACTGAATTTAGAGAAGCAAAGAGTGGTAAATCACATAGGAAATTTTACTGCCATTAATTTTTGTTGATGTCATCTTTTGGGCAGCCTGGTCTCTTTTTGTCCAATTCTTTGCATAAGGTGATTGTGAAATACATTTTGTTTTCTAGGAAAGATTATTTTAGCTATTTCTTTTGAATCTGTGAGGCCAAAAAGTATTGATCACATTTTAAAATTTGTTATCAGTCTTCAAGAACTTGCAGCCATTTCTCAAGATTATCCCTATTAGCTAAACTTGAAACAATCATAAATCTACTTAAACAAGCATAGGAGACATTGTGTGAATACTCTGTAGCTCTAGTTGCCCCAGTCATCAAACTTCAAGCTTATTTGAGGATGTCAAAATATCAACTTTTTTCAATAAACATTTATTAACAACCCACAATATCAAAGGCATTATGACAAGCATTAAGAACAGTAGGAGAAAAATGAAATTGGGTTTACCCTCAAAGAGTTTCCATTGCATTGAGGGATACAATACAGATACAGACAACTAAAAACAAATTAAATTAAGAAAGGAGAGAACACTTAAAGACTGGAATATTCATATAAGAGGTAATGCCTGAAATGAGCTTTAAAGGAAACTGAGGATTCTAAGACATGGAAAAGAGGAGGGAGTGCCTTCCAGGTGTGAGGGACAGCTGCCCATGGCAACATAGATATAAAATGCTGAATCTAGTAAACATCTAGTAGGCCAATTTGGCTGGAATGTTGAGTACATGAAAAGGGAGTAATGTGAAATCAATCTGTAAACCTAAGTTGGAGCTGGGTCGCAGGCAATTCTAAATGGTAAGGTGATGAGTTGTATTTGCAAGTTGTATTGGCAAGTGGAAGCCAAAGATTTTTAGGCAACAGAGTAATGTGATCAAACCTGTCCCTTATGCAAATTATTTTAGTAGTTACATTCAAGAAGGATTGGAGAGAGAAGAAAGTGGAAACACTGAAATCCAAGTGAGAGGTTCTGGCTATCAGGAAGTCCTGAGTTCACATCTGGTTTCAAATACTTAATAGCTGTGTGATCCTGGACAAATCACCTAACCTTTCTTTGCCTGTATTAAGGTAGTGGGCAGTGAATGAAGAGAAAGAAATAGATAAGACTTGAAAACTAATTAGATATGGGGGGGGGGGAGCAGAACAGAGAACAGTCAAGAAAGAGTCTGAGATGATGTACCTGGGTGAGGGTCCTTATCAGAAATAGGGAAGTCTAGGGGAAGAATAATTTTAGAAGAGAAGAAGATGACAAATGAAATACTGAAAGGCCTAGAGGTCATGTAATGTGTGCATCATTTGAAGGAACAAGTGGTGTTTAACCTTGAGAAGACTTAGGAGACACATGACAGCCACCTTCAAGGACCAGGCATGTCAACTACATCAATTAACAAAAGACTATTTAAAATTTTTAAAATAATTTTACTATTACTCATTACATTTTCTGCTGTCTGTACAAATATACTTTAAATGCAAATAATTACAAGTATATATTATAATTTTACTTTGAAATGAATATTTTTTCATCTGTTATCTCTAGTACATGCAAGTACACTGCATTGATTGAACGTAGGTTGCTCCTTCAAGGTATTCTTAAGTGAACACAACATTAGATTTATTCTTCTTAGCCCAAAACTAAGAACTAGAAATAATGAGTTGAAAGTTAGGGGCAAATTTAGGCTAGAAGTGATAAATTCCTAATGATTAGAGCTATTAGGAAGACCCGAGTTCATATCTGGCCTCAGACACTTATTAGCTCTGTGACCTTGGACAAATCACTTAACCTCTCTGTCTCAGTTTCCTCAACAATAAAATGGGGATAAAAACAGCACCTATTTCACAGGTTTGTTGTAAGGATCAAATGAGATATTTGTAAAGTGTTTTTAGCACAGGGCCTGTTACACAGTAGGTGTTAATAAATGCTTGTTCCTTTCCCAAAAGTCAAATGAACTGCCTTGAGAAATAATAGGTTCTGCCTCTTTGCAGGCCTTCTAGCAAATGCCAGAAGACCATTTATCAGAAGAGAATGACCTTTGCACTAGATATAGCATAACAAAAATGGCTAACAGTAAGTCAATACCTAAGAAAAGCAAGTGGAATACCTGATTTACTCTTAATGGAACCAAATCAACTGGCCCAGATAAAATACATCCTCAGATACTCAAACAACTGACAGTTGTTGTTTCTGAGCCACAGTCAGGACTATTTGCAACATTAAAGCAAAAACACAAAACTGGAGAAGGATAAATGTGGTACCAGACTTAAAAAAGGGGCTGGGAGTAGTCTACAAACTATAGACCAGTGAGCTCGACTTCAATTCCTGAGAATCAAACTTAACCATCAAAGATATGGTTGGTGAACATCAATAAAAGGGAAACAGTGATTATGAAAAAGCTAGCATGGCTTTATCTAGAACAGCTCATGCCAGATTAACCTTGCTTTGTTTTTAACAAGGTTACTAAACTGGTAGATAAGGAGAATGCTATAAATATAATTTACTTGGATTTTAGAAAAAAGCTTTTGATAAGTATTTCCTATCATGGGGAAGATGGAGATAGATGAACTAAATTATATGATAATTAGGTAAATTCAGAACTGGTTGGGTGGCCTCACTCAAAGAACAGTCATTAACGGTTCAATATCTACATGGTCTAGGATAGAGTACCCCAGGAACTTGTGTTTGGCCTTGTGCTCTTTAACTTTTTTAATCGATGACTTGGATAAAGGCATATAATCACAGAGTTATAGATTCAGAGACGAAGAAGCCACAGAAGTCTTCAAATCATTTTATAGATGAGAAATTAAGACTTAGAGTGGTTACGTGACTTGCCCAGGGTTTTGTAGGTAATAAGTGTCTGATGCAGGACTCAAACCTGGCTCTTCCTGGCTCCAAGTCCAGAATTCTATCTATTTTACTACAGTTTCTCTTATGTATGACATGTTTTTCAAATGTGCAGATTGCACAAAGCTGGAAAGGATGGCTAATATACAAGATGGTGGAGTCAAAATCCAAAAAGATAGTGACAGAGTAGAATATTGAGCTAAAACTAACAAGATTAAATTTAATAGCGTGGAAAGCCTTACTTTTGGATGCGAAAAAAGAAATGAATACTACAAGTGAAAGACGGAAGAGGCGTGATTAGAAAACACTTCACCTGAAAAAAAAATCCAGGGATCTTAGTGGACTTCATGCATTAGTAGTGTGATGTATCAGCAGGAAATGTGATCTTCAGCTGAAGGAAGTGGGCAAAGTTTTCAGGTATAAGGAGATAATAGTCTCATGAGACCTCATCTAGAATACAGTGTTCGAAATTGGTCACCACAGTTTAAGAGGGACATTGCTAAGTTAAAGGGCATCCTGAAGGCAACCAAAAAGATGAAAAGTCTTAATTTCATGGGATATGGAGAAAGGGTTCTGGAATGGGGTGGAGGGTTAGTATTTGCCTAGAAAAGAAAAGAGTCATCTTCTTGTATCTGAAAGGCTCTCAAAGAAAGATTAGATCTGTTCTGTTTGGACCCAGAAGATAGATCCAGGAGCAATGAGTGAAAGTTGTAAAGTGAAAAATTTAGGTTTAAAGTCAAAGAAAAAAAATCCTAATGGAGTTGTCTAAAAATGGAAAGGACTGTTTATAGAAATAGGTTCTTCCTCCTTGCAGGTTTTTAGTATCAGTCAGAAGCTAGGTGACTACTTCCACATGTGTTATAATGGGGATTTGGGGAAGGGGATATGTGTTGGGCTAGATGACTGCTGAGGTTCTCCTGATCCCTCAAATTCCAAGATTCTGTAGAAGGTCTATGGAATGGACTAAATGGCCCTTCCAACCCTAAGATTTTATAAAGAATATCTAAAATGCTACAAATAATCTGTTCTATTTTTAGCAAGTGAAGTTTGGTATTTCAACGAGGCATTGAGGTAGGAGTACCCAATAGGTAGTTGGAAATGTGAGACTGACGTACAGGAAGAAAAATGAGGGCTAGATATATACTATGGAGTTATCTGCATACAGATGACCATCGAACTCATGGAATTTTATTTGCTCACCAAGACATAGATAGGGAAGGACAGAGCCACAAAAGACTACCATGTTTAGGATCAAATACAACTGATAAACACTCATTGAAATAAAAATGCCAGTTTATATACAGTTGAAGATTCACATGTCTGATTCATACTATAAAAATATAATGGGTATTTATTTCTAATTCATTATTGCTGCAGAATTGGCAATGTGATTTCAGCTCCAAGAACACAGATTTCCACATTTATTCATATTTACTACAACTTACTGGAAATATGGAGTAATGTCCAAAGGTTCTAATTCTTTCTTCACAGGTGATACAGTTGTGTAAGTAGTCACTACAGTTGGTATGGCTTCAGCACCAGGGAGTTTTCTTGTTTCTCCTGAAGTTATTCCATTTATAATAAAAAATATATAAAATTATTTTTAACTTTAAAGTTTGTATTGATATCATTTGTTTTTATATCACCCTCATTTCAAAATGTATACTTCCCTCTCCTAGATATTATATTTTTAAACTTTTGGATAAGTTCTTTTTTCACCTTTATTATTGATAGATCTTGGCTTACCTGATATGGTTTTATTTAAAAGAAAATTTTACTTTGTTTTTAACTTCTAGCTTCTGTCATTTTACTCTTCAGTTAAACAACTGACATGGAAAAAACTACCCTACTTGAGCTTAGAGAATTTAATTAACAAAAAAAGTATTTACTGAATCCCTGATAAATGAAAGGTTCTGAGTTATCAGTAAGCGCCCTCAAAAAAAGCACTGAGTTGGGAAGACACAGACTTGTAAGGCTGGGAGACAGAAAAGTGAATTGACTCATGCTAACAATTTTATACTTCATAGCCTCACAAAGTACCCCACAGGTCCATATTCAAGAAATAAACATCATTTGCTAATAACTAGGTGAGGAAAGGACTGGGGTGCATACCACATTCCCACTTAGGAGAGGAAGAATCTAAAGTCCTGGGTATCCTTCACACAAAGGACAACCAAATAGAAGGACCTGGGTCTAGGGAAATGATATGGTTAATCTCAGGAAGCATAGGTTTTGAGTAGAAGGACCTAGCTTTTGCCAAAGTCCTAGCTCAGTAAATAGTTCTCTTTCAACTACATCACATGATCCACCTAATGAATTAAGATTTTAAAGAATGGAGGTACTCAGAAGAAGATGCTTTAAACAAAGTGATGGGGAGAAAGATATGGGGATGGGGGGAGACACAAAATCATGTTACAAGTTGGACTGGATAGAGAAGAACAGAAGCTTTGGTATCTCATAAGCCCTTACTTTTAGGGGAGTCATAGGGAAAATAGAGGAAATATATTTATTCACAAAGACTAGTAATGGGAGATGAGATTCTAGAGTGTCCTACAGTACAGGCAATGGAATTCATAGAATCATAAATTTAGAAATGGAAGGGGCATTAGAGGTTATCTAATCCAACCATTTCATTTTACAGATGAGAAAACTCAGGCCTAGAGAAACTTAGTGACATGCTCAAGGTCGTGTTATTTAGCATCACTTGGAATGGGCTGCCACAAATGAATGCTATTAAAATTAAGAGACTAAAATATTTGGAATGTAGGGCTCAACTGGGTCTTGTTTATCAAATCAATCCCACTGAGCTCTTTTTGTATGTTCTAAAGATAATCAAATCATTTTGATGACTCCTTCATAACACAGTTTGAATTCCAGTAATGCTTTGTCCCCTTTACGCCATTTTTCTTCATTATTGCCCTTGATATTATTAACCTTTTTTTTCTTGTGAATGAATTTCATTATTATTTTGGGTAGTTCTTTAAAATAATGAGTTGTCTATTTGATTGGTATGACAATTGTCCTTGGTGGACAAAAGAGAAGTACAATAAGAGTTGAGCAGTTCCACCTTGTCTCATCAATTGTTATTATTGTTCTATCCACCTCAAGAAGTAGTCTTATCCCTTATTTGTTCCACCATGGCTAATATGGAAGTATGTTTTGCATGACTTCATATGTATAATGGATATTATATTTCTTGTCTTCTCAATGGGTGGGGAAAAGAGGGAGGAAGACAATTTGGATCTGAAAATAAAAAAAAAAATAAAGGGGGTGTTACAGAATGGGAGGTAGAGCTAACAGCAATTGAAGAAAAGTACTCAATCCCTCACCATGCAGACAAGATCATTATTATCACAATAATAAGGAAAACACTGTGAACCTAAATGCAGACCATATCAACATCCAGAAAAAAAGCCACTAGGATACTGTGAGTTCTGTAGACTGCCATTTAAGGATGAACTGAAGCATATTTAGGTTGGAGAAAAACTAGAGATATTTAGGTTGGAGAAAAGAAGGCATAGACAAAATAGACACAGAAGGATGATTGTCACTGTTCAGTCATATCTGACCCTTTGTGACCTTGTAGACCACAGCACGCCAATACTATCTATGGGGTTTTCTTAGCAAAGTGATTTGTCGTTGCCTTCTCTAATGGATTAAGGCAAACAGAGGTAAAGGGATTTGCCTAGGGTAACAGAGCTAATAAGTGTCTGAGGCTGGATTTGAACTTGGGTCTTGCTGATGCCAGGTCCAGTGTTCTCTATCCACTGCACCACCTAGCTGCCTATGGAGGATGATAGTTGTCTTCAAATATTTGATGGGCTGTCAGGAAAAATTAGAAATGACAAACTCACAGAATCTCAGAATTGGAAGAGAGTTGAGTACGGGGGTGGGGTCTATTTACATAATAATTAGTCGTGGTCCACTTATGTTATAGAAAAAAAAAAGTATTTCCTGATGCTATGAACTTAAAATAGGTTTCAAATCAGCAATATAAAAGTAATACTTCCCAAAGTAAAAATGACTGACTCATTGTATATTTACTAATTTTGGATAGTCCTCTGCCATTTTCTAGTATTAAAATCCACATTCACAGCTGTTGTCCAGTTATTTTTTTAGTCATGTCTGACTCTCTGTGACCCCACTTGGGGTTTTTTTGGCAAAGACATTGCAGTGGCTTGCAATTTCCTTCTCCAGCTCATTTTACAGATGAGGCAGAGTTAAGTGGCTTGCCCAAGGTCACACAACTAGTAAGTGTCTGAAACCAGATCTGAACTCAGAAGATGAGACTTCCTGATTCCAGGCCCAGCACTCTATCCACTCGGCTACCTGGTTGCCCCCACATTGACAGAAGCAAGTTTAACTTTATACAACCAAAGATATTATTCACCACCTCAAAGAAAGATGACTTTTAAGGACAGAAGACTTCCACGGTAGAAAGAGATAGCGTAAACATTTTAAAAACAGTCACAACAGCTAGACTTTAATATTCCTCCTGAAAGTATAAGAGGTAGGGGGGATTTTAGAACTCTCTGACCAAATCTACATTTGTGGTGTCATGGAGTAGTCCTTGAAATCTTGAAGCATGAGAGATTTACAATATTTCCTTTATGGTTGAGGAATCTCATTCTGCTCGCTCGCTCTCTCTCTCTCTCTCTCTCTCTCTCTCTCTCTCTCTCTCTCTCTCTCTCCCCCTCTCTCTCTGTCTCTCTCTAACTTTTGCCCATCTACCTTGCCCCTCTCCATTAAAACTACCCTGGAAAGTACACCAACAATACTTGTGAATAGTGAGATTCATTTGGTCCATGAATAAAGTCAATACCTTCTTCCAGGATCTTAGTCATATCTTCAGGCTCTGCCTCAGCCTCAGATTTCTTAGTGAATTTGTTGATAAACTGTAAGCGAGCTTGAGCAGCCTGGAGAATAAATGTTAGGAAACAAGATCTTTTAAAATGACTGACTACAAATAACTTCTAAAGCCTTCAAGAAAAGAAGAAAATGTGAAATTAGCAAAATTATTTTAGCTGTGCCTTAGCAAACTGAAGTTAGCGAGTGATCAAACATTAAAATACTGAGCAGTTATTGCTTTTCATACATGGAATCTTTTTTGTCAGTCAATGAATGAGAAACTCTAATAAATGTATACATTTACAGAACATCTTTCTTTTTAAAAATTAATTTATTTTTAGTTTTCAATATTCACTTCTATAAGCTTTTGAGTTTTAAATTTTCTACCCCTACCTTCCTCCCTCCCTCCCCAAGACAGTGTGCAATCTGATATAAGTAGAGAACATCTTTCTAAACAGGATTTTATTAAGTAATATAACATATTATTATATTTGCAATTTACTAGATTGTAAGCTTCAGTAAGTAAATAGGGACAGTACTTAAAAATTGTCTTTGTACCTTTCCCAGTACCTAGTAAAGTGCTCCATACCCAATAGGTGCTTAACAAATTATTATTGAATGAATTATCTAATGCAACTAGTGTCATTATACAACACATATACATATAAATCGGTTCTAAATTTGAATGATCATACTATAGGGGTTAGGCATATTAGCAATCAAATATACCTATTAATTGGTCCTATAGTATAATATTTCAAACATATATACTCCATCAATCTCTTGCCAGTTAAATTTATTATCACCAACAAAGTACCTACTCTATGAATAGAACTACACTAGTCTCTGAAGTGGATAAAAATTTAAATAATATATAATCCCTGTTCTTATGGAGCTTTCCATGATAGGGGGATGGAATACATACAAAAATAATTATAACAGAAAACATGATAAGTACATGATAGAGGTGCAAAGAATTCTGTAAATTGAAGGGGAGGAGGATTATAAGAGAGAGACTGTGAGTGTGCATGTGTTCATGTGTTTATAAGGTTCTCTTATGTATCTACAAGTACATGTTTATGCTTCCTTCTTTGGAGAAGTGAATAGTGGAATAGGCATAACTAGGGCTTTGCAAATGAAAATAAATTTCCAGCCTTTGGGAGAAAGGCTACAGATGGTTTAAACTCAAAAAGTATCATCAAGAGCTAACTTTTTATGGTTATCAAGCAGACTTAAGGCTGACTACAAGAAGGTTAATCATTTGATTGGAAAGGGCAGGAAGGAAGGAGAGAAAAGACAAATACCTACATAACTGCTGTATGAAAAAGTTATTTATTGAATATTATTAATCTTCTTCAGCCCCTGTCATATGCTTGATTATACATTTTTTTTCTGCATTTTGCTGCCTTCAGACCACTCCAGAATGAAGACAACTAAAATAGCCTCTCTAATTGTGATTACCTTGATAGACCTGCCTGGCTCTGCAGCCTCCCATGCTTGTTTCATTGCTCGGATTTCATCAGCTCTCTCTGTATCCTTCTTGACTTCTAGAATGTCAGTCTCTGTCTGTTCAGTGACCAGGCGCAGTACCCAATAAGGTTTATTTGGATCTTGTTGCTGAGCCTAAAATTGAGGATGTAACAAAATAAAAAAAGATGGCTAGATTTACAAGCTTTTAGTGAATGATTGGTATTTTCTAATTTCTTTATAGTTTTTCATTCTAATTTGTTCTTATGCTCACCTCACAATCAGTAATCTTGGGGTTTTTTTAATCACCCATTTATTTCTAGGCCTGTTTATAATCAGTATGGACCAAGCTGGAGCAGTGATAGACACAAAATTGATACTTAATGTAACCTGTTGTTACCACATCTGTTTTCTTTTCCAGTATTACTGTACTTGAAATTCAGACTGAAATATATGAAGGAATGGGAAAGGGAACTGTATGAAATAATGCTATTCTGCTTAACTCCTGTATTGCAAAAATGAAGAGTAGGAAAATAAGGTTCCAGAAAAAATCTCTTGCTTTCAGCATCTGAGAGAACTCTATCTCTGTAGGGCTTGTGAAAACAAACTTAGGATCATAGATTCAGAGCTAGAAGGGGTCTTGGAGGTTATCTAGACTAACCCCCTAGTTTTATAGGTGAAGAGAATGAAGTCCAGAGCAGAAAATTCACTTGCCCAAGGTCATACAGGTAGAAAGTCGCAGAACAGGAAACCAGTACAACGTACTCTGATAAGAAATTCAGTGCACTTTCCACTATACTGAATTGTCCCCTAATTGTTCCTAAAACCTAAAAGAATTCACTGAACAGAATATTTCCCTTTAGAAAAGGGAGTAGGTAAACTAGTAAAGAATGACGCATGGAAGAATGGTTATAAACTTACTCTCTTTCAACCAGCTAAGTCAAATATGTGCCAGCTTAGCAGAAAGAGATGGATGATATCTAGCTCTAAGTATATTACAGAAAGGTATAAAGCTGCCGAACTATAAACATTTTCCCATCCCTGGAATATGTGTGGACAAGGAATCAAAATGAGTCTAAAAGAACAGAAATAATAGAATTCACAGAGGAGAGAAAAGGAGACTGAACGGAATCTACCATGACTGAAAAACACAATCTTTCACAACACTTAACTATAGAATTCGAAAAGCTATCACAGGCTTCCAGATGTAGCATCAGAGTAGTCTAATGAAAATATATATATATAGATATATATATAGATATATAGATATATATCTCTATACACACACACACACACACACACACACACATATGTGTGAAATTGATCTGGGATTTTTCTTGGAAAAAATTCCAGCCGGATGACATACAAAAAGAAATTCCATTCAAAATGACCACAGAATGAAAACAGTAGTTCACACTTGAAATATAAAAATTCACAGAGTTGAAATGAGATGTTGGAACGGAATTTATTATTCTTCAAGTGATTTTTTTTTTAAATCAGGAATGGCAACCAATATTTTAGACAAGGGAAACATAAAAATAGACATACTTTAAGGAGTTAAGCAAGGAAACCACATTGTGTTTAAAGATATCATATATAATTAAATAATGTATTTGTGTATACATATACATATATATATATATATATACATATACACAAAAAATGCAGGAAATATCATAGCCACTGTTTACTTAGAGGAAAAATTAATAAAATTGCATGGAATAATACACAACAAAAGTATAATATTTGGGGACCTCAATATGCCCCTTTCATACTTAGGAATTTTTTTTTAAAGAAACAAGAAAGAAGTTGGGACCAGAATAGAATTTTAGTAAAGTATTATGGACTTTTAGTGACTTCTAAGTGGAAATGAAGTAGTATCCATAGTTCTCAGCTTTATGGAAAATCAATAGATAACTGTCATCAATGGAAATTACAATGAGACAACATAACAAAACTTTTGGAATATAGTCAAAGAATTAGGAAGAATTATGTCTTTAAACATTTTTATCAACAAACGAGAGAAAGAAGAAATCATCAAATTGGACATACAACTTTTTAAAAAATTAGAAAGTTAATGAATAAACCCAACTAAACACATTAAAAAGAAAGAAAACCAAATTACCACACTCAAAAATAATAAAAAAAATTCATAACAAATGAAGAGGAAATAAAGTATTAGAAACTACTTTTGCCCAAGTGAACACCAACAAAATTGATAACAAATAAAATAAATTTTAACAAAAATGAATAATGCCTAGATTAACAGATAGAAGAAAAAAACATTTAAATCAATCTCACAAAATAAAATTGAAAAAGCCATATATGAACTAACAAAACATTGTTCAAACAAAACAAAAAATAACACACATTGATTTACAATTGAATTCTATCAAGCATTCAAACAACTAACTCCAATATCACACAACTTGTTTGCAGAAATAGAAAGTGTCCTGCCAAAATCTTTCTGGGACACAAATATTGTAGTAGTGGTGGTACTACATAAACCAAAGAGAAATAAAGCAGAGGAAGAAAAAATAGACCAATATCTCTAAGGAATGTCAATGCAAAAATACTGGGCAAAATATTAGCAAAAAGGCTGAAACAACATATTTAACATATTATACCCTATGACCAGAAATGCAGAGTTAATTCATTATTAGGAGAACTAAAATAACAAAATATAAAAAAATATATGATTATATCAGTAGATTCAGAAAAGGCTTTTGACAAAATGCAATTAGCAAATTTATGTTAAAAACATTAAAAGGATAGATAAACCTTTTCTTAATGTGGTAGAGTCTCTTTTTAAAACCAAGAACAGCCATTATCCACAATGGAGATATGCTAAAGGACTTTCCAATAATATCAAGGGTAAAGCAAGCATTGCCATTATCACCACTATTATTTCTTATACTTACAGAAATACTATATAAATGAAATGAGAAATAGAAATTTTAAGGTAATGATTATATGCAAAGAAGAAACAAAATTATTGCATTTTGCAAGTGATATGATTTACTGAGAGAACATTAGATGTTCAACTAAGATTAACTGAAACAATGACTTTAAAAAGTAGCAAAATAAAAAATAAACTCATACAAATCATCAGAATTTTGCATATTATCTAAAAAATCAGGATGAGATATGGAAAAAATCAATTCAAAGTAACTAGAGAATACATAAAATATCTGAGAATTCACCTATCAAGACATAAAAATTATATGAACATAACTGGGTAACACTTTTTAAAAATAAAAGAATACATAAATAATTGGAAATATTTAATTAGTCATGAAGGGGCCATGGTAATGCAATAAAATTATAATACTACCAAAATTAATCTACAGGTTCAGTGCCATACTAAAGGGTTACTTAACAGGGCTACAGAAAGTAATAATAAAATTCATCTAGAGAAACAAAAATCAAGAATATCAAAGGGAAATTTAAAAAAAAAATGAGAATAACGGGAACTTTTAGTTAATGTTTAGCACTCCTTTAACTAAAAATAACATGGTACATGTTTAGCACTCCTTCAACTAAAAATAACATGGTACATGTATATCTTATTTTATTTTTTCATGTGAATGAATTAGGAAAGCTAGGTCTCATACATTATGATTATCAAGATATTGCCACTATCAGCAAAGGAGAGCAGTTGATCGAAGGCAACAGTTTTTGCCAATAATCCTAAGGAAAACATTCACTTCTTACTCTGAGGCTGCCAGTAGAAAGCACATAAAAGTAAGGACAGCCTGAAATTTTTAGCTAAAATTTATCCCAGTACATACACCGGTATACAAAAACAAAGAGAGAGAATAACAGAACTTGAGTGAGCCTCTCTGTAGCAGAGTAGTGTGATTGTAGGGTCTAGGATTTTTCTTGATGGTTTTTCCAAAGTCTTTGTGTTACCCTGAATTGACATCAGGATGTGCTACAGGAAGCCTGAGGTCTTGTCAGAAAGATTACCTAAGGGCTAGTTATAACTGTGCCATGCAGTAAACATAAGCTGCACTCATCACAATGCTCTCTAAGTCTTTTCAGTTCAATGAACATTTATTAAACACCTAATATGTACAAGGCATTGTATTAGATCATGAGATTTGGCTGGGTTGGGAGGGGTGAGGGGGATGGGGAAGAGAGGTTGTTGCAAACCTATGATTTCATTGGTATGAGGAACACTCAGTTTGGCAACTTAATCAATGGAAATGTGATTTGTCTGTAACCTACAATCTTAGTTGCTGAAGGTACTGAGTGGTTAAGTTACTTGTCCATAGCACCAGCTAGTATATGACAAGGGCAGGACTTGAATCCAAGTGCTCCTGACTACAAGACCCCAGACCTCTATACACTGCCACGTAGAGAGTATGATTACACAAATAAAACAGTCCTTTATCTTGAGTAGCTTATATTTTTCTTTAGGGATATAATATGTATGCAGGTAAGCAAAATAAAAGGAATTTTGATGGAAAACATACTAGAAACTAGAGGTAACAGTAAGTGGTAACACTTGAACTGAGTCCTGAAGGAAAACAGAAATTCTGAAACATAGAGATCAGCAAGGCATATATTGCAGGTATGGGATAAGAGTGGGGATGGAAGATGGCTTGTGGAAAGTCACAAGGTGGGTCTAAGGCCATGAATGTTGAGTCTAAGGACCAGATACTAATTTAACTTTAGAACACATAAAGGGGAGTAATGAGTAAGGTTGTAAAGAAAGATAAAATCAGGTTATGGAGCACTTTAAATGTCAGACTGAGAAGTTTATATTTTATTGTAAAAGCAATAATGAACCATGGGTTTTTAGTAGGAGGGTGATATTGTCAAAACAGTCCTTTGAAAAATATATTCTAGCATCTGTGGATGAAAGGAACGAGAAATTAGAGGGACTGATTAGGGGAAACATTTAAGAAATCATTCCCATTAGGTAATTTATGAATTTTTGTTTGTTTGTTTGCTTGCTTTGCCAAAGAGGAATTTCTCTTTTCAGGTAAAAATTTCAGTTTGATTATATGCAATTTTCTCAATAAAATGTTCTATAAAGGGTCCATTTTTATTGAAAACCTAAACCAATATTTTAAATTCTGATTATATCAAACAAGTCTGGCTTTAAGCAAAACTGTGATCTGGAGGAAATTTTTCTTTGGCATTGATTCTTGCTTTCGTTCCTTTAGGCCTGTCCTCACTATCTTGCGTTGCTTCTCAGTGGCTCATGGCATGCAGAAACAATTTGCTAGAACATGAGCAGTACATGTATATGTATAATTTAGTTCCTCTATTTTGAAAACTGGAATTATGAGAGTTATAGTGAATTTACATATGTGATACCAGAATTCCTGTCTATGGGAGGCCAAGCATTGTCAAAATCCACATTTCATAAAATTATTCAAATAAGGAATATCATTCTTACCTGAGGTTCAACTTTAGGTGCCACTTTTTCTTTAGCTGCCTTCTCTTTTTCTGCCTTGTCAGCTCCTTTATCTTTACCTTTTCGAGTTGTTTTGGCAGTAGGTGTGGTTTTTTGCCCATCAGTGGAGCCATGGGCATCTGAAAATCCCATTGAAATTAATTCTTCATGTTTTTCAGAATGTGCTATAAAGTTATATATAGTTGAAATTGAAAAATTTTGGACAAATGAAATCAATGCACCTAGGCTAAGAAGGAAAACTCAAGTAAAGTTTTGCATCAAATATTTCTAATGTCTAAAATATCTAAGATATTAACAGTGATAAATATATACATATATGTATATACATATATTTGAAAAAGAATCCTTTCTAAGCTAAATGAATTGAAGTACATGAATGTAATGGAATGCTACAGAATAATATGAAATTATGAATATGGAAAATACAGAGAAGTATGAGAAGACATGAACTGATGCAAAATAAAATAAGCAGTCACAAAAACATTAAGCACAATTACTAACAATGATAAAAGTTAAAACTGAACACTGAACTCTGTGACTTTATAATGACAAATCTTGGCCCTGAAGATGAATTGGAGAGAGAATGCATCTTTGTCTCTTCATTACAGATAGAAAGACTGTGTATATAGTACACTTCTTATAATAATGTCAGTCTTGGCTGATATATATGTTAATTTTGCCAAACTATGTTTTTCCCTTTTTAAATTTTTTTGGTAAAAAATATCTCTGGGAAGGGAACAAAGGAAGGGTATATTTAGAAATGATGGTGATATAAAAAAATCAACAAATATAAACATATATTTTAGAAAAAGAATATCCATTCCCTAATAGACAAATGATTAAAGTATATAAACAAACAAATCTCAAAACAAGACATAAATAAACAACCATGTGAAATTTTCCTCCAAATCACTATTGAGAGAGGCTAAAATCATAATAAATCTGAAGTTTCACTTCATTCCAAGCAAACTAGCAAAAATGACAAAAAAATATTCAAATTTAGAGGGACTATGGGAAGATATGTACATGAAAATATTGTTGGTGAAACTTTAACTGATTCAACCACTCTAGAAATAAATTTGTAATTTTGTGGGGAAAAAATGACTGTTCATATCCTTTGATCCAGAAATCGCATTGCTGGGCAATGTCAAAGATAAATAGAAAGGTCCAATATATACATACATAACACACACACACACACACACACACATATATATATATATATACATATCATAATAGTTTTGTGAACGTATGTGCACGTGCATGCATGTGTGGATTAGCAAAGAACTGGAAACAAAATAGATGATCATAAACTGAAGGATGGCTAAGCAAACTGTGGTATAAATGAATGCAAATGAATATTATTATGCCATAAGAAACAATGAATTTGAAGAATTCAGAGAAACTGAGACAGACTTGTATGCACTGATTCTAAGTGAAGTAAACAGAAACAACAAAACAATATATAGAACAACTACAACAATGTAAAGGGAAGAACAAGAAAATAAAAGAGAATGATGTATAATAATGACCAGTTTTGGCCTTGTAGAAGAGATGAAGAAATTAACCTGTGCTTTAGAAACAAAACACATAGGAAGACAGGCAGGTTAATATGTTGTTGGAGCTGTGAATTGGTTCAGTCATTTTGGAAACAATTGGAATTAAGTTTTGGTAATGCCCCCTTGCCCAGCATAAATTGCATGTTCCCCTTACTGCCACCCTTCTTCTGTTGATGTTCATAGAGCATTCAAGGAACATTAAATGTTCCTAAACATTTAAATTTTAATGCTCAGTGATGAACAAGACTATAGTAATAAACGTCCTCTGTGCTATAATGTCCTTTTCCTAAAAGAAAAAATGTGGGAAAGAAAAAGAATAGGGATTCTGAAGATGGGCCCATAACAGACATACCAGATTCTGGAACAGGGTTTCCTTTTTTCTTCTTGACTATTACTTTAGGTTCTTCTGCAGGAGGAAACAAAAACAAAAAAATGCAAGGCAAGCGGCACTCCTCAGCCATTTAGAAAACAACTCATAAGGAAAAAGGGGGACCCCCCCAATCTGTTTAAAATAGAATTGAATTGTTTCAGAATAGCCCAATAACACTTGGTTAAGTGCTGAGAACTCCAAAAGGCCATGAAATACAAATAGACAAAACAGACCCAGGAGAGAAAATTCTATGAGTTGACATGGATCCCTGAAAAGTTAAATAAATTGTGTTTATGTAGAAGATATACAGGAAGAGTCAACTCACACCTCAGATGAAGCAGGACCACAGATGTCTTCCTGTAATATCAGTGTACTACTCTTGCTGTCTGCTGGGTGTGGTATCTTTGCTGTACATGTTATACCCCTGGGCTAGTGATTATGTCTGAGTACAGACTACTGGTCTTGTGGTGACTCTTGTGCAGATAATTTCTGGTAGTGTATTGCCCTGCTGGCCTTGGATACATTGCTCAAATGATTCAGGGCATTGCCATTGCAGATGTCACTCTCCTGGTTCCTTTAGTCTCAACTGCATATTTCTACAGTTGCTACTTGGGTACATAAGTTCTGCTAAGAATTGTCCCTTGCTGTTATCTTCTGAGTTCATCTCTTCGAAGTCACCCAAACCTTCTAAGTTTCTGTCTGCTAAGGCATAATGAATAAAAGTTCATCCTGTTGAAAGGCTAAAAGCTCTTTAGTTACAGCCATCACACCCATCTTAACAAAAGTCAGGCAGAGTACGTCAAGGCTAAGAATAGGCCTTTCCTTTTTTATGCCCATGTCTGGGCCAAAATCAAAGCCCTCTGATATAGATGAACTATCTAATTTAGAATTAAATACTCCTGAGGTCAAAGGAATAGAAAGAGAAATTCTATTTAAAATAACTGCAGACAAGATAAAATACTTGGGAATCTACTTGCCAAGACAAACCCAGAAATATGAACACAATTAGAAACAATTTTCACACAAAGTCATAAATAATAAACAATTGGAAAAATATCAATTGCTCATGAGTAGGCTAAGCCAATATAATAAAAATGACAATTCTAACTAAATTAATTCACTTATTTAGTGTCAAAGCAATCAAATTACCAAAAATTATTTTACAGAGTTAGAAAAAATAATAACAAAATGCATCTTGAAGAAGAAAAGTTTAAGACTATCAGGGGAATCAATGAAAAAAATTTGTGAAGGGAAGTGGCCTACAAGTATCATATCTCAAAAGGTACTACAAAGTGATAATCATCAAAACAATCTGATACTAGCTAAGAAATAGAGTTGTGGATCAGTGGAATAGATTAGGTACACAACACACAGTAATAAATTATTACAAAATAATCTAGTATTTTATAAATGAAAAGATCCAAGCTTTTGGGAAAAGAACTCACAATTTGACAAAAATTGCTGGAAAAACTGGAAAGCAACTTGGCAAAAACTAGAACAACATCTCACAAAATCTACCAAGATCAAAATGGGTACGTGATTTAGACCTAAAGGATGACATCATAAGCAAATTAGGGGAGCATGGAATACGTTACCTGTCAGATCTATGGATGAGAAAAGAATTTAGGACTAATAAGAGATGGAGAGCATTATGGCATGTAAGATGGATTATTTTTATTATATTAAATTAAAAAGGTTTTGCACGAACAAAGCCAACACAACTAAGATTGGAAGGAAAGTAGAGAACTGGGGGAAAATCACCAGAAATTTCTCTTTGATAAAAGCCACATTTCTCAAATATAGAGAGAAATGAGTCAATTTCTAAAAATACAAATCATTCCCCAATTGACAAATGGTCAAAGGATATAAACAGGCAGTTTTCAGAAGAAGAAATCAAAGCTATTTATAGTCATTTGAGAAAAAATGTTCTAAATCACTACTGATTAGAGAAATGCAAATTGAAACAACTCTGAGGTACCAACTCATACCTACTAGTTTGCTTAATATAACAGAAAAGGAAAATGACAAATATTAGAGAGGATGTGGAAAAATTGAGACACTAACGCACTATTGGTTTAGTTATAAACTGATCCAACCATTTTGGAAAGCAATTTGGAAGTATGCCTATAGGGCTATACAACTGTCCAGATCCTTTGATCTACCAGTACCGCTACAATCTGTATCCCAAAGAGATTAAGAAAAAAAAAGGAAAAGAACCTATTTGTACAAAATATTTATAGTAGCTCTTTTTGTGGTGGGAAAGAATTGGAAACTGAGGGCATGCCCTCTTATACAATGATCAACTTTGAATGACTTTGCTACTCTGAGCAATACAATGATCCAAGACAATTCCAATGGGGTTATGATGAAAAATGCTATCCACCTCCAGATAAAGAACTGATTAAGCCTGAATACAGATCAAAGTATATGTTTTTAATTTTCCTTTTTTTTTGTCTGTGTTCTCTTTTGAAATATGGCTAATATGGTAATATGTTTTGTATTACTTTACACATATAATCTACATCAAATGGTTTGTCTTCTCAAGGTGAGGGGAAGGGAAGGAGGGAGAGAATTTGAAACTCAAAATTTTAAGAAACAAATGTTTAATTTTTTATATATAATTGAGAAAAAATAAAATATTCTTTAAAAAATACTCCTGAAATTCTCCTTAACATAGCATATGAGTTTGAACAAGAACAATAAGTGAGCTAAAGATAGAGTTGAGGACAATGTTCTCTACCTACCTATCCCCCATTCCTTCTTTATTATGCTTATCTATCAGCAGAAAAATCTATTTACTTAAGGTAACTAAAACTTCAGTGTCTCTATATGGATGAGTTGATAAATGTTTGCACATGAATGCCTATTTAAATTTGTGATTAACTCTTCAGTAAGAAGGAGGCTAAGCCTATCCACTTTTACAATAAATTGGAGTCAAGAAAGAAATAAAATTTCTTCAATAAGAATTTTCCAAGCTTCTAAAACTCTGATATTTGAGCAGTTATTTTTATCTACACTTGTTAATTTCTCCTGATCTGGCCAATTAGAAAAAAAGAAAAAGAAAGGAAAAAGAAAGGAAAAAAGACTCTCTTGTTTTTGAGATCATCTATAAGAACTAAATTTATGATTCCATAGGGCATAAAGGAATCATGAGGTTTGAAATTTAAATTTGATGATTTAGTGCAATTTATAATAAAACTTTTTTAGTGCTTGATTTCATGGTGGATTTCCTTAAGATGCTTTTCATTGTGGATTGCTAAATTGGGAATATAAAATTTGGAAATAAATATACCCAGGCTTTAAAAATACTTTTTCTTGTTCCATAAAGGAGACTCAATCCCAACACTTCCTCCCTAGTTATTAACAATGTAATTATAAAGATATTGTAAAGAATGCCAGACAGACTCAGTAAAAAAACTAGGATGTAGGCCCTGCTCTTACCATCAAGCTTATTAACTGTGCCCAGGGACAAGGCATTTTGTTTCTTGGTGCTTAGCCTCTTCATTTATAGCTTACAGAACCAACCTCAAAAGTGTGTTGTGAGAATGATGTAATAATAATAAGCTATGTATCACCAACAGCTAGATAGCACAGTGGACAGAGTACTAGGCCTGGAATCAGGAAGACCTAAGTTCAAATCCAATTTCAAACACCAGTTGTGTGACCCTGGGCAAGTCACTGAACCACTTTATGCCTCAGTTTCCTCAACTGTAAATGGATACTCGTTTCCCCATCTGCTCTGCCTCCCCCTTTGGAACAGGAAGAACTCTCACTTTTTGGACCATTGGCCCTAAGCATACACTCCTTGAGTAATGTGAAGTTTCAGTATATAAGTTGGTATTCCAAAACACCTTTGCCTTTACTTGAGATCAAATAAATTGAAGAAGTTTACATTAAACTGGTAAAAGGTCATTAAATAATTTTTAGACCCAGACCTTAGAGAATTAACTGAATATTTTTAAATTAAATTAAATTATTTTGAAGTTGCAATTGTTTTTCCTTTTACTTACTTTTCTCTCAATAACATGTAAAAAAATTTAAACATTTGTTTTTTTTTTTTAATTTTGAGTTTCAAATTCTTTCCCTGTATGATATAGCTGTTATTTACGTACAATGTTCTCCTGGTTCTGCTCATTTCACTTTGTTTCAGTTTATATAAATTTTCCCAGATTTTTCTTAAACATCCTCCTTATCATTTCTTATAGCACAATAGTATTCTAACACAATTACGTACCACAACTTGTTCTGTCATTCTTCAATTGATGGGCATACCCTCAATTTCCAATTGTTTCCCAAAATGAAAAGAGCTACTACAAATGCTTTTGTACAAATAGGTCCTTTTCCCTTTTTTCTTCCTTAATCTCCATGGGATACAGACCTAGTGGTGGTATTCTAAATGTGTCCTCCTCAGGTAAAAATATAAAGGAACTACTACTGCTTTCATTCTATATTCCCGTTTAGAATTGAGAGGCACAAGGATAGATAGGCACATCATGGATAAAGTAGCTGATCTTGGCATCAGGAAAGCCTGAGGTCAAGTTTTGCTTCTGAAATAAACTATCTGTGTCACTATGGACAAACTGCTTAACCTCTCAATGAGACAGACAACTCAAGTTACAGACAAGTGGCAATCAGCATTGGTAAAGGGAGTGTCTGCAGCAGGAGCTGCCCACATAGATATAAAATTACAAGTTTTGGATACTATGCCTCTTTTACGGTAGCATTAGCATTATTTTTTGTTTGTTTTTTCTTGGCTATCATGCCATACTTTGATTCACACTGAACTTATAACCCAAGAAAACTGTCAATTCTTTTTAACAATAAAGGTTTTATTAACCAAGTCTCCCTCATTCTACACATAAGTCAGGTGCTTAGCTTTGCATTTGTTCCTATTGCATTTTATCTTATGCAACTCCACATTTTACCCCTATAAAAAGGGACATTATAAATAGGTGTCATCTGGAGCTTCTAAATGATTGCACTTACTTTGCAATATGCAAGTCCTCTGTAATCTCCCCAAATTGATTAACACTGTT